CTGTTCACACGAGACAGGAAGTGAGAACGGTTGAGGACATCATTTATAATGCAGATCATGAGCAAACCTATCAGCAGGACTGAGAACACGAGTGAGGAAACACACGCCAACGTCAAACACGTCAAACACACGCCAACGTCAAACACGTCAAACACACGCCAACGCCAAACACGTCGAACACACGCCAACGTCAAAAACGTCAAACACACGCTAACGTCAAACACACGCCAACGTCAAACACGTCAAACACACGCCAACGTCAAACACGTCAAACACACGCCAACGTCAAACACGTCAAACACACGCCAACGTCAAACACGTCAAACACACGCCAACGTCAAACACACGCCAACGCCAAACACGTCAAACACACGCCAACGCCAAACACACGCCAACGTCAAACACGTCAAACACACGCCAACGTCAAACACGTCAAACACATGCCAACGTCAAACACACGCCAACGGCAAAGATGTCAAACACACGCCAACGTCGAACACACGCCAATGTCAAACACACGCCAACGTCAAACACGTCAAACACACGCCAACGTCAAACACGTCAAACACACGCCAACGTCAAACACGTCAAACACACGCCAACGCCAAACACGTCAAACACACGCCAACGTCAAACACGTCAAACACACGCCAACGTCAAACACGTCAAACACACGCCAACGTCAAACACGTCAAACACACGCCAACGTCAAACACGTCAAACACACGCCAACGTCAAACACACGCCAACGCCAAACACGTCAAACACACGCCAACGCCAAACACACGCCAACGTCAAACACGTCAAACACACGCCAACGTCAAACACGTCAAACACATGCCAACGTCAAACACACGCCAACGGCAAAGATGTCAAACACACGCCAACGTCGAACACACGCCAATGTCAAACACACGCCAACGTCAAACACGTCAAACACACGCCAACGTCAAACACGTCAAACACACGCCAACGTCAAACACGTCAAACACACGCCAACGCCAAACACGTCAAACACACGCCAACGTCAAACACACGCCAACGTCAAACACGTCAAACACACGCCAACGTCAAACACACGCCAACGTCAAACACACGCCAACGTCAAACACGTCAAACACACGCCAACGCCAAACACGTCAAACACGTCAAACACACGCCAACGTCAAACACACGCCAACGCCAAACACGTCAAACACGTCAAACACACGCCAACGCCAAACACACGCCAACGTCAAACACACGCCAACGTCAAACACACGCCAACGTCAAACACGTCAAACACACGCCAACGCCAAACACGTCAAACACGTCAAACACACGCCAACGCCAAACACGTCAAACACACGCCAACGCCAAACACGTCAAACACGTCAAACACACGCCAACGTCAAACACACGCCAACGCCAAACACGTCAAACACACGCCAACGCCAAACACACGCCAACGTCAAACACACGCCAACGTCAAACACACGCCAACGTCAAACACGTCAAACACACGCCAACGTCAAACACGTCAAACACACGCCAACGTCAAACACGTCAAACACACGCCAACGTCAAACACGTCAAACACACGCCAACGCCAAACACGTTAAACACACCCCAACATCAAACACGTCAAACACACGCCAACGTCAAACACGTCAAACACACGCCAACGTCAAACACGTCAAACACACGCCAACGTCAAACACGTCAAACACACGCCAACGTCAAACACGTCAAACACAAGCCAACGCCAAACACGTCAAACACACGCCAACGTCAAACACGTCAAACACACGCCAACGCCAAACACGTCAAACACGCGCCAACGCCAAACACGTCAAACACGCGCCAACGCCAAACACGTCAAACACGCGCCAACGTCAAACACGTCAAACACACGCCAACGCCAAACACATCAAACACACGCCAACGTCAAACACGTCAAACACACGCCAACGCCAAACACACGCCAACGTCAAACACACACCAACGTCAAACACGTCAAACACACGCCAACGTCAAACACACGCCAACGTCAAACACGTCAAACACACGCCAACGTCAAACACGTCAAACACACACCAACGTCAAACACGTTAAACACACGCCAACGTCAAACACGTCAAACACACGCCAACGTAAACACGTCAAACACACGCCAACGTCAAACACGTCAAACACACGTAATGAATGAATCTGGTAATAAAATCACATTTATAAAACGGATAGTTCCGGACGGTCCTTGATTCTGATTGGTTGAGCCGTGTTCGAAGCTGTTGTAAATTACTCCACAAACACACACCTGTGACCGCATTACATTAGTGTTACATACACACACACACACACACACATCTGTGACCGCATTACATTAGTGTTACATACACACACACACACACACACCTGTGACCACATTACATTAGTGTTACATACACACACACACCCACACACACCTGTGACCGCATTACATTAGTGTTACATACACACACACACACACACACACACCTGTGACCACATTACATTAGTGTTACACACACACACACCTGTGACCGCATTACATTAGTGTTACACACACACACACCTGTGACCGCATTACATTAGTGTTACATACACGCACACACACACACCTGTGACCGCATTACATTAGTGTTACATATACACACACACACACACCTGTGACCGCATTACATAAGTGTTACACACACACACACACGCCAACGTCAAACACGTCAAACACACGCCAACGTCAAACACACGCCTAATATATTCACACAATGTAAAATGTAAAATAGTGCCCTGTTGAAGTTTTGCTGCATTTTCTTTATTGTTTTATTTATTTATATTTATTCTTTAAAGAGATGCACTGAATTTTGGTGGATAAGAGGACCTGTTTTATTTTGATGCACATAGTTGTACATGAGCAGGAATGCAGCACAATATGGATGTGAAAGCAGTTATAATTAGCCTATGTGACAATAACATTTGTTTTGGTTAAAATCAACAAATAATGATCTCAATATTGATCAAAATAATCGTGATTATCATTTTGTCCCAAATCGTGCAGCCCTAGTGTGTCGTTTAATGCGTTTGAGACCCGTTTCTCTCAGCGCACAGCAGAATGCTAACCTGTGAAAGCTAAAAAATTCACACAACTATTTCACATCTACGTTTAACTTCACAGACTCCGAGGAGCGAGTGCCGGCACGCTCTTCTTCATCAGGACACACACGAGTTAAAGAGAGGAGCTGTTGGTGCGTCAGGTCTTTCATTCAGCTGTAAAGGTCATCCGTCACTCCTAATGATGGCATTAGGGCAAACGAGAGGTGCTGCTAATTGCTTCAGTCACACACACACACACACACACAGCGCCGGGCCGAGGGTCTCTATTAATGATGCTGGAGATTAAATATGAATGCATGCTCTGCCTCCTGGCCCACATCAGCCTGACGCCTCGATTCACACACGAGTGACGCACGGGCATGTGTGTGTGTGTGTGTGTCCTGAGCCTCTCTGTAATCCTGCAAGATACTCGTACTGCAGCTATTTAAGAAGGAGCTTTATAAGACATAACTCTGTCCTTGTGGGAACTCTGCTGAATTATTCATGCGTCCCACCGCGCTCACGTCTAGACACAACAACATTCGAGAGGACGACACTGATGTTCACTGTTCAGACCACATGCTTACGGCAACACCAAACACTGAACATGAGAACAATGGCCTCAAAAACTACTGATGTTGTTCAATCTGTGGTGTACAAAGGTTGCGTTAGCAAAACATGATCGGGTCAAAGTGTTTTTGGTCCCACTTTTGTCTCAATGTTACTGGTAGTCTCTGTATGAAGAATATTTGGGTATAATATGTCACAGTTTACTTTATTTTGCTCTCCTCACTTACATAAATGAACTATAGTGTCCTGATCACACTAGTGAAACAATATCAAACATGATATCTGGTGTCTGAGTAATGTTTGGTTTGACTGTAGCTGTCAGTCATAAATCAGAATAATTGTTTGGCTGTTTTAATGTGATATTAAAGATGCCCCTGAAAGCTGAACTTCTCCTGGCCTTCGCAAACACACACCGCGAGCTTGAAAGCAGAAATGTCAAGTACACTACCTGAATACTTCATGTGTGAATCAGTGTTGCCCTCGAGTTTAATCTATCCCACCAGTTTCATAATGAACTGAACATATGTTTACACTTCTCAGAGCAACATTAGAGATCTCTAACATTGTGCTTTGTGCCATTGCTTTGTCAATTGAACTAAAATCTAAATTATAATATACAGTAGTCAACATTGGATTCACATTTCTGCTTGTGCTTTTGGAAACTCAATGGACACCAGATATGATGTTATGTGGACAGATTACAGCATTTCACAAGATCTATAATGAGAAGCGTTTGCAAAACTGTTGTTAAAAACATCTCTTTTACATCACAATAAAAGTTTAGGGTTTAAATCTAACAAATGAATTCATAAGTACTGCAACTTTACTGTTGTAAAGTAAAATAATTAATATAATTGTTAATATTTATTTTATTTTACAAGGCAGTTGTATTAATACAGCAATATCTGTCTTGGAGTTACATTGATATATTATTATTACTAATCCTATTATTATATTCTAATAGTTTGGCTTCCTAAAACACCAGTGAGAATGTGATGAGAATGAGACTCTTAAACCCAAGTCACGGCAGGGCCTGAATTACATTTAGGAAAAATTTAAAAATAAGACGCCGTTCTGACGTATGAAGAGGATCTTATTATAATATTCCCGGCCCTTAATCTGCACGTTTACACACACCAGCGACATTGGGTTCGGCGAGCGCCAACAGAGACCAGTTCTAACGCACTGGAGAAGATCCAGCAAAGCCTGAAACTGTTCTGTGGTCGAGCACAGACGACACTGAACACTATTGACCAGAACATGTCAGCGCTGTCTTATAAACACCTCAGGAACTGTGGACACTTGTGGAAGAGTTCAACATGATGAGGAGATGATCAGTG